TCTAATCCTGACATAGACGACCTGTCTTGACCTGATTAGGGAGGGGATTAGTCGAGGAACATGTAAACTAGACCGAACACCCCTAATCCTTGAACCAAATTATATATATACCTTCAATTTTTCATTGTCAAATATATAGCTAAACCCAATTTTATTTATTTATTTTTTCGACCAGTCTGAGGAAGTGGTTCAAAAATTCTAAGGAGGGACCAGATTGATGCTATCTGTAGTCACAGACTTGTTCTGTTTTTTCTCCCCGGGTGGAGGGGGGGGTTGAATTTGAAGTGAATTATATGATAAATGTGGGTATGATTATGATTGTCCATGCAACCCACATTGGCTGTTCCACTCAATTCTCGGCACAATTGCCTCCGCCCACCGCTGCAATGACTTCATAGATTCGTGATCTACTACCCTAAATAATTAACGGAACTCCCACATTCAACAATTTAAATTGGGCAAACTATGTGCTAAGTGTGTCATTATCGATAAAATCTGGATAAAAAAATAAAAACAAAAACAAATGGGGCTCACTGTGTTATGGGGCAGGGTGGCCATGTAACCTAGCGACCAAACATTGCANCGTTCCAAGCAGATTGGTTGAAATGAAAGAGTCAAAAGAGATGGTAGAGCCCTTTGATTCATCAACAATCTGTAATTTGGCATATGTTGAAGCTCACAAGATTGGTCTTGGGTCTCATCTGATGACCAGCATGAAAATTTAAAAAATATATAAAAAATAAAAAATGACAGCCATTTACAGCCAAATTGCAGGTATGAACCATTCTCTCTGGAAACACCTTCTCTCTGTTGATCTGGACACCCAAGACAATTAATTCTTGGGAGGGTGGAAGCTACTTATGGAAATTAATACTGTTTCCAAGGCAATTTATGCTAATTATACTTGACCCTTATGGTGGTTTCCACACTTCTTGTATTGCAGGCACCATTATTCTTCATAGACATATTCTAACCTCTCGGACTACTATGATGGTTAGTATTCGAGTTTGGGAGAATAGTCGGTACAAATTTGAACACATTAAAATCAAAAAAAAAAAAAATACTAATTATAGTTGGTGAACTAATGATGCTAAAGTGGGAGTGTTTGAAAGTCTTTCTTTTCCACTTGTAGGTAAGGCAAACGGTGATTAATTAACAATTTATCACAAACTTACGCGGCTTTCATAAGGGAGCTGTGGCTGTGCTGGCTTCGTACTAGAGATTGATAGGAACATTTAATTGAAGACTTTTAACAGCATTGATTAAAATGATCTGGATCTCATAGTAAAGACAAGATACACTTGGATCAGAAAAATATGTGCTCGAAAAAAACATTTTTTTTTTTTTTTTCCAATCACGGATTTTATTGATCTTAAAAATCTCTTAATTTTATCTTGAATTTTGACAATTTTTTAGAGTCAAATCATATGTGATTTATCCTTCATAAATATTCTAATCCTGACATAGACGACCTGTCTTGACCTGATTAGGGAGGGGATTAGTCGAGGAACATGTAAACTAGACCGAACACCCCTAATCCTTGAACCAAATTATATATATAGCTAAACCCAATTTTATTTATTTATTTATTTATTTTTTCGACCAGTCTGAGGAAGTGGTTCAAAAATTCTAAGGAGGGACCAGATTGATGCTATCTGTAGTCACAGACTTGTTCTGTTTTTTCTCCCCGGGTGGAGGGGGGGGTTGAATTTGAAGTGAATTATATGATAAATGTGGGTATGATTATGATTGTCCATGCAACCCACATTGGCTGTTCCACTCAATTCTCGGCACAATTGCCTCCGCCCACCGCTGCAATGACTTCATAGATTCGTGATCTAGATCATGTACCACAATCACATTTACATCTGTCAAACCTCTCTAGGATCCAATAAACAGTCGGTGTTCTTGAAAAATGCTCTTCATCTTGCATTATTTTTATTTTAAATAATAATTTACATAATTTATAAAAATATTTAATTATAAATAAGAAAGAGGTAAGAGAGAGAGATGAAAGAGATACAATAGTTTTTTTTGACATTGGTTTAAGTTATTTGACATTGGGAGCTGTGCAAAATATAAGGGTTTTTTTTTTTCCGGGGGATGAATTTTCTAACGATGAAAATTAGATCAATTTTAACTGTTATTATACTTTTGTAAATGTTCAATTAAAATTGTTAGATTAGATCAATAGGTAGCTTTTAAAGAGTTTGGTGTAAAATAAGTCACGTCTGTTTGGAACTTGACTTTTTTACCGGCTTATGCAACAACTTTTTAAACCAAAAAAGACTTATTTAAGTTGATTTTATAATTTTTTTTCTAATTTTTTAGGATTTTATCACCGGATTTTACTTAACTTTTTAATTTATTATATTTATAAAATATTATTAGTGATGTAAAAAAAATTGAAATTCATATTTTATAAACTATTATGCATAATCTGTACATGTGTGTAATTATTTTTTTTATTTTGACACAAATAATCAAAAAAACTAGAAAGTGACCCGGACTTTTGTAAATTTTTCAGCTTTTTAAAGAACACCCCAAATAATCTGAAAGACTTTTTTAATTCTGATTTTTTTGTGAAACTTTTCAAACTGTAATTTTTCACCTAAAATAATTGGCTCCAAACAGCCTCATTATATAGACACACACATTAATTTTTTTTTAAATTTATATATACACACACAATCTGTTATTTATACTATACATATAAAATAATCAATTTCATAAGGAGAGAGGGTTCGAAAAGTCTTCCTTCCTACTTTTTTTAATTTTTAATAATTTTGAATTGTTAAGTTCATCATTCGCTGATTACATTCTACTAAGTGCCTCTAACAACTACCCTAAATAATTAACGGAACTCCCACATTCAACAATTTAAATTGGGCAAACTATGTGCTAAGTGTGTCATTATCGATAAAATCTGGATAAAAAAATAAAAACAAAAACAAATGGGGCTCACTGTGTTATGGGGCAGGGTGGCCATGTAACCTAGCGACCAAACATTGCATCAGTAGAAGCCTCATCCACTAGAGCCCACAAGCTTAAAGGATATGGAGCATATTTGCTTCTGAAGGNGTTTGAAAGTCTTTCTTTTCCACTTGTAGGTAAGGCAAACGGTGATTAATTAACAATTTATCACAAACTTACGCGGCTTTCATAAGGGAGCTGTGGCTGTGCTGGCTTCGTACTAGAGATTGATAGGAACATTTAATTGAAGACTTTTAACAGCATTGATTAAAATGATCTGGATCTCATAGTAAAGACAAGATACACTTGGATCAGAAAAATATGTGCTCGAAAAAAACATTTTTTTTTTTTTTTTCCAATCACGGATTTTATTGATCTTAAAAATCTCTTAATTTTATCTTGAATTTTGACAATTTTTTAGAGTCAAATCATATGTGATTTATCCTTCATAAATATTCTAATCCTGACATAGACGACCTGTCTTGACCTGATTAGGGAGGGGATTAGTCGAGGAACATGTAAACTAGACCGAACACCCCTAATCCTTGAACCAAATTATATATATACCTTCAATTTTTCATTGTCAAATATATAGCTAAACCCAATTTTATTTATTTATTTATTTATTTTTTCGACCAGTCTGAGGAAGTGGTTCAAAAATTCTAAGGAGGGACCAGATTGATGCTATCTGTAGTCACAGACTTGTTCTGTTTTTTCTCCCCGGGTGGAGGGGGGGGTTGAATTTGAAGTGAATTATATGATAAATGTGGGTATGATTATGATTGTCCATGCAACCCACATTGGCTGTTCCACTCAATTCTCGGCACAATTGCCTCCGCCCACCGCTGCAATGACTTCATAGATTCGTGATCTAGATCATGTACCACAATCACATTTACATCTGTCAAACCTCTCTAGGATCCAATAAACAGTCGGTGTTCTTGAAAAATGCTCTTCATCTTGCATTATTTTTATTTTAAATAATAATTTACATAATTTATAAAAATATTTAATTATAAATAAGAAAGAGGTAAGAGAGAGAGATGAAAGAGATACAATAGTTTTTTTTGACATTGGTTTAAGTTATTTGACATTGGGAGCTGTGCAAAATATAAGGGTTTTTTTTTTTCCGGGGGATGAATTTTCTAACGATGAAAATTAGATCAATTTTAACTGTTATTATACTTTTGTAAATGTTCAATTAAAATTGTTAGATTAGATCAATAGGTAGCTTTTAAAGAGTTTGGTGTAAAATAAGTCACGTCTGTTTGGAACTTGACTTTTTTACCGGCTTATGCAACAACTTTTTAAACCAAAAAAGACTTATTTAAGTTGATTTTATAATTTTTTTTCTAATTTTTTAGGATTTTATCACCGGATTTTACTTAACTTTTTAATTTATTATATTTATAAAATATTATTAGTGATGTAAAAAAAATTGAAATTCATATTTTATAAACTATTATGCATAATCTGTACATGTGTGTAATTATTTTTTTTATTTTGACACAAATAATCAAAAAAACTAGAAAGTGACCCGGACTTTTGTAAATTTTTCAGCTTTTTAAAGAACACCCCAAATAATCTGAAAGACTTTTTTAATTCTGATTTTTTTGTGAAACTTTTCAAACTGTAATTTTTCACCTAAAATAATTGGCTCCAAACAGCCTCATTATATAGACACACACATTAATTTTTTTTTAAATTTATATATACACACACAATCTGTTATTTATACTATACATATAAAATAATCAATTTCATAAGGAGAGAGGGTTCGAAAAGTCTTCCTTCCTACTTTTTTTAATTTTTAATAATTTTGAATTGTTAAGTTCATCATTCGCTGATTACATTCTACTAAGTGCCTCTAATAACTACCCTAAATAATTAACGAAACTCCCACATTCAACAATTTAAATTGGGCAAACTATGTGCTAAGTGTGTCATTATCGATAAAATCTGGATAAAAAAATAAAAACAAAAACAAATGGGGCTCACTGTGTTATGGGGCAGGGTGGCCATGTAACCTAGCGACCAAACATTGCATCAGTAGAAGCCTCATCCACTAGAGCCCACAAGCTTAAAGGATATGGAGCATATTTGCTTCTGAAGGACGTGCTTTGCCTTGGCTGTTAGAGAGTGGGCCACATGCGAGCTCACTCTTCAACCATCAAAGTCCAATCCCATGTGATTAGCCACCCTGTTCATGGTTGTGTAAGCATATAATATTTTGTGGGTTTGCTGTAAACGGATTTACATCTTCTTCGGTATATTCTTTAAATTTTACTCGATTGTAGATCATCTATCGTAAACTTATAGGTGACCATTACATATTAATGGATCCCCCACCGATACACAGAAGATGAAATCATCCACCATGATTTCAAATAGAGCTTAGAATATAATGGAGAAGAACAGTCCACCACTTCAAAAGCAACCCTTCCAGAAACCAGCTTGCATTGAGCATAAAAACTGCAGATACAGTCAATTTGTGCATGAAGCCACATTTTCACCACAATAATCCAAAAGAAGATGAAAGAATTGGACATGTAGTTGTGGTNATTCTTTAAATTTTACTCGATTGTAGATCATCTATCGTAAACTTATAGATGGCCATTACATATTAATGGATCCCCCACCGATACACAGAAGATGAAATCATCCACCGTGATTTCAAATAGAGCTTAGAATATAATGGAGAAGAACAGTCCACCACTTCAAAAGCAACCCTTCCAGAAACCAGCTTGCATTGAGCATAAAAACTGCAGATACAGTCAATTTGTGCATGAAGCCACATTTTCACCACAATAATCCAAAAGAAGATGAAAGAATTGGACATGTAGTTGTGGTCAAGGTTTGTATACCCAACATAACACCCTTTTTCGGGTGCCAAGATCCACATGCTTAGCCAAGCTTTTTATCGAAACCATCCTCATCATGGCTCCACAAAGTTTGGGGTTCACAGCAACTAGGCCTCATCAGTGTCTAGCTGCCCCTAGGATGGACCATATGATACAAATAGGACAGCGAGCCAACGGTTCTCAGCCCGAGGATCAAATGAAAGACAATGGCAGTTGATCCACATTATGGACCCCATCCACATAACTAGGAAAGCTGCAAGCCAGTATGAGAGCTACGGAGAATAAATTGATGACACAACCATTGGAAAGTTTGTTAGGTACAAACCAGCAACATACAGAAATTTGTTTGCGTGAATTACATGTAGAAATTTTGGATCAACAATATAAAACATCAATAAGTTCACGCATCACCAACATATGATAAATATACACATGTATATTTATATACATGATATAGCATGTCTCAAATATAATTATTTATCACAAAGTAAAATGCATCGCAGAAGGTTCAGTTTTGTACATTAATAAAGGTAATGCATTCTTAACTACAAACATAGAAAACAACAGCAATGTGAGACTGTCTAAAAGATAAGCAGTGAGATTCTATGCCTTGTCTAGTTGGTGAGATGTCCAAATCCAAATCAGTGGAGGGACATCTGGTTCAGTACAGTTGCCGCCTGGTTTAGCCAGACTGCCACCTCACGTGTAAGATTGCATTTATGATCAGCATCCAATCAGTTACAAAACAGGTAAAAACGGAGACCATCAAACTTCTATAGAAAGTCCAAATTGATCATACTATCTGACCATCAGAGAAATTATATCCAGATAACAAGAACTGCACCAAAGAATGGGAGAACAGAGGATGTAAAACTGACCTTCAAGAACGCGTCGCTGAATCCATCCACATCGATGAGGACATAACCCGATGTGAAGTAGTCAAATTGCTCAGCATAACCAGTCTGAAATCCTCGAATTGCTATTCATTGGCCATCATTTATTCAAGCTAACACAATGCCATTCTAGTGCACTGAGAATGGCCATAGTTTAAGTCCTCAATTTTTACAAAACAAAATAAATGATAACATCCAGGCTTCCTACCTGCAGGGGTTTGTAGAGTCGGGGCACGATNGCAAGCCAGTATGAGAGCTACGGAGAATAAATTGATGACACAACCATTGGAAAGTTTGTTAGGTACAAACCAGCAACATACAGAAATTTGTTTGCGTGAATTACATGTAGAAATTTTGGATCAACAATATAAAACATCAATAAGTTCACGCATCANACAAGCCAGTATGAGAGCTACGGAGAATAAATTGATGACACAACCATTGGAAAGTTTTTTAGGTACAAACCAGCAACATATAGAAATTTTTTTGCGTAAATTACATGTAGAAATTTTGGATCAACAATATAAAACATCAATAAGTTCACGCATCACCAACATATGATAAATATACACATGTATATTTATATACATGATATAGCATGTCTCAAATATAATTATTTATCACAAAGTAAAATGCATCGCAGAAGGTTCAGTTTTGTACATTAATAAAGGTAATGCATTCTTAACTACAAACATAGAAAACAACAGCAATGTGAGATTGTCTAAAAGATAAGCAGTGAGATTCTATGCCTTGTCTAGTTGGTGAGATGTCCAAATCCAAATCAGTGGAGGGACATCTGGTTCAGTACAGTTGCCGCCTGGTTTAGCCAGACTGCCACCTCACGTGTAAGATTGCATTTATGATCAGCATCCAATCAGTTACAAAACAGGTAAAAACGGAGACCATCAAACTTCTATAGAAAGTCCAAATTGATCATACTATCTGACCATCAGAGAAATTATATCCGGATAACAAGAACTGCACCAAAGAATGGGAGAACAGAGGATGTAAAACTGACCTTCAAGAACTCGTCGCTGAATCCATCCACATCGATGAGGACATAACCCGATGTGAAGTAGTCAAATTGCTCAGCATAACCAGTCTGAAATCCTCGAATTGCTATTCATTGGCCATCATTTATTCAAGCTAACACAATGCCATTCTAGTGCACTGAGAATGGCCATAGTTTAAGTCCTCAATTTTTACAAAACAAAATAAATGATAACATCCAGGCTTCCTACCTGCAGGGGTTTGTAGAGTCGGGGCACGATCATACAGATGACAAAACCCAAAAGAATTCTCAAAAAAAAAAAAAAAAAAAAAAAAGAGAAACATCAAAATCCAGCTAGCAGTGGCAGCTGACAAATCTTAAAATAACGAAAAAATCATATTTACATACACTAATAGAGCAATCGCGAACTTAACATGAATCAACCCACATTTATTTAGCAATATACAAGAACTCTGTGACAACAGGCATCGTGTTTTCTTGCCCAAAATCTCAAATATGATTTTACATGATATCCTTAACATCTGAAGGCTTTGGATAACCATCATACTCTAACTTCACATTCATAGTAGCACAAATAGCCCTAAACTTTAACCTCAAGGAGTCCATAATATTAGTCACAGACTCATTTTCTGGCTCCAATTTCGGGTACTTTTCCACCAACTCATCCATCTGCTTAATGCTTTTCTGAACCCTGGAGGAGAAACAAGTCGGGTCGACTCGGATTGCAGAGTTCCATATATCAATACAACCTCTGTAAAACCCTAGTTCTTCGCCAACTTGGAAACCTGTTTTGAGACCCACTTGACGACCCTCATCTTTTCCCGAGGATAATCCGTCATTATAGCCCTCTGTGTAGCCTTCCTTGTAGTGTGTTTCTTCTAGGTTTAGTGAAGAGTCGAAGATGTCTTTGATGGAATCAGAATTGGAATTGAGTTGGAAAGAGTCCATGATATGAACGAGTTTGTGAAGCTGTTTGATAAGATTAGAAATTAAGAACTGGAAATTAAATTCGAATTTAAGTATTGAATGTTGAATGTTTGAATTTGAAAAACTGCCAGAAATGTACTAAAATTCAAACACTGAATTGAATGAAACTGTTAAACGAGTACAACTCGTACAATGAGCTACATTCTGAAAACTATTCATGGGATAATTGTGCCCTACCACTCTTTACATGGAAATTCCCAGTCAAATATGTAATTATCTAATAAAAGACCTTGTCATATCACTAATGGAATTGATAAAATAAATTGTAGTCACAATCATGATACTATGTTTGAAATTTAACAAACGTAATAAGGAAATTAATTCTTAGATATATTAACCACCAAGAACTGTCAATTGCCTTAATCTATGATATTTCTATTTAGAATCAAAATCAAGAATTTAAATGAGTTGCAACTTACCCTCCCAAGTTAGAGCATAAATATTTGTTAGCTTACCAAATTATGCTCACTACATTAAGGATTGCAATAAGGAGCATTCTCGTCACTAAACTATTCAAAAAATATATATTTTCTGAAGAAATTGTGCATCTTTACACAAGCACTTACAATTTTCCTTTGGTATTATAAATAGATGTGGTGTCATCTTTTTTACTACTGGAAAACATCCATTCACTATTCCAAAAAACACATCCACTCACATTCCTTGGCACATTCAATCTAAAGAATTGTCACACACAACATGATGTGGCAGTAGCTTTTTTGCAAATATCATGCTATTAATTGTCCTTTGTTTTGTATGAAAATGCAGGTAAACCACACCATTCTATTTATAAAGTTTTGTACCTATTTTCTATTTGGCTAGGGCTCCTGACCCTTATAAAGAGGTAATGAGTTCAAATCTAGTCTCTACTGTCATTTCCTTATGCCCTTCCCTTAGGAGTAGGCCAGACTATTGTTGTAAATGCAAAAAAGAAAGTATTCCTTATCAAGTATTAATATTCCCAACTTTGACAAGTGAACAATAAGGATGAAATAATCACAAGTTTCACAACAAAAAGAACAAAGGGCATGCCTTCCTATCACCACAAAAGGAAATAAGGGATATATCCTTAATATGGGAGCAACCAAATAACTTTGAATGTTGTACCACCCTCGATACATGTTTTGAATTTGCATATGGAAACTATGTGCCCGTTTTCCATAAGAACGCCCTAGTGAGGCACATGAAAAATCTTGACCAGACCAGGCTACTAGTTTGTCGAATATTGATCCTTGCAAGCTTAGGAAACATAGAGCCCCGGGAGCTTTTACAAGGAATCCCGTATTCCTGTGTAGTTATTCAGGATGAGATGGAGGACAATAAGTGAAGCTATTAGGGTATGGAATCTGAGCTTGTCGACTTTCATGTGATAGATAGGAGACAATACGTGCCGGTAAGTGAAGCTGTTAGTGCCCATATGAAATCTGACCTTACACTTTCTTGTAATCAATAGTATAACCAGTTCCAACAAAAGTAAACTTTAGAACATAATTGAGAAGCGTACTGAAGTATACCATTTCTATGTTTAGAAGAACAAAGAAACCTGATCAAAGAAGGCTTACATCAAGAAGCAAGAGAGACTTGTCATTTAATGCAGATCTAAGAGTCGATGTCCAAACCAATATCACAAGAACAACAATATCACCTTTAGCATATGCACTCTAACAACATTGTCATTTAATGCAGATCTAAGAGTCAATGTCCAAACCAATATCACAAGAACAACAATATCACCTTTAGCATATGCACTCTAATAACATTGGCATTCATAACGATGTTTTCAAGAAAAGAGTCATTGGTGTACTTGTCATAAAGCCAGCCTAATGTACAATTACAACACTATAAACACCAACTCCTCCTAACTAAATAGTTGTGAAGCAAGCCCCAACTTTCTTATAAACCTTTTCAAAGGCTAAAATACTTGGTCTAAACAAAACTCAGCTAGTTTCTCACATGAACAAGCAGGTCAGTGCACTGAGACTGAGCTATCAAGAAGCCTCAGCCAAACAAATCCTTTATTACTATATAACAACAAAAGATGGCATAGATGGGTGTAACATGGTCCACCCAAATCACCATAGAAAGCGTGAGATGCAACATTCTGGTNAAAAACTCAGCTAGTTTCTCACATGAACAAGCTGGTCAGTGAACTGAGACTGAGCTATCAAGAAGCCTCAGCCAAACAAATCCTTTATTACTATATAACAACAAAAGATGGCATAGATGGGTGTAACATGGTCCACCCAAATCACCATAGAAAGCGTGAGATGCAACATTCTGGTGCAGCCGAAAGGCTCTTAAGCGCAAGGAGCCAAACAGAAAGAGCAGATGCTATAGCAAAACAATGTAAGATTCACAATCAACTGAACACTAATCATTAAAAATTTGGGACTTCCGCTTTTTGGTGGGTGTTTCATTTTGTTCATGCTAACTGAATGTCCTGGTGCTGGAGTCTTTCAATGCTCTGCTTCGGGCGTATCATAATTTGTCAATAGTAAAATAACAAAAAAAACTATAGAAATAATACCGATAAAGAACCCCTCATACAGTACCTTGCTCGAAATTTCCTTGAGAATTCCTTGATTGATATAGTTGCACAGAAACGGCGGAGAGAAACAGTGTCTCTACGAGAACGGATAGAAGTTGGCACACTGGGCCAACAGGTAGTCCAGTGATAACGCAACGAGAACTCGATAGAGACAATGGCTTAAGTCATAACAGCGTCTTAAATT